CTCTGACAAGAAAGTTAGATCCGCACGCGAGACGCTCAAGCGAAGAATGATTTTTTTTTAATATCTCTCTTACCTGTGTTTTTACATGCTCAGTTTGTCGACGGGCTTGTACAGACCTCTCTGTACGTGTAGCTTTGACAAAAGCAGGAATGCGGTAATTCTATGAGTGGAAATAAAAAAAACGCCCTAACGGTGCGTTTGAGCGAATTTCTCTTCCAATCAAGAAAATACTGCAAATGACCATTTTGCTACTGTTATAACCAAGCGGTTTCTCTTGTCATAAACAAGCACACTCGCATAAGTCCTCAACCAGAACATAACAAAAGTCATCTTCGCTGGTCTACAGTCAATTCGCTAAAAAACAATTGTTGATTTAATTTATTTTTGAGTTTGGTTTTTGTATGCTTTTTACATTGTACGGTAATACGCAGTGTCTTTCGCTCGTAGCGTGCTTTGATCACGAAACATCACTTTCGCTCGTAGCGTGCTTTGATCACGAAACAGTTACTTTATATTAGGACAAACTTGTTAGTACCACGACTACGTACTGAGTAGTAACCGAAGACCAATGCTTCGTTTCTAATAACTGCTCCGGTAATTTTTAGTAACTAGTGGAATCTGTTTGGATCTTAGACAATAATGTTGGTATTGCTCCCGTTATTCTTTATCAGTTTGCGCGGTAGTGTCTGGCCATAGCGCGCAATCGTGAACTCACGGAGTGCTCGCTGCTCATCATATGTCCTGAGTTACCGAGCGTATTCTTGAAGTGCTGCTATCAAAACTGTCCATGTAATGTTTTGATTTTCCCAGTGGACAAGAATACCGACCAGACCAGCCAAACGAACGGAATCCACAGGAACTGGCATTACTGTTGCACCGCTCCGAGAAATTAAGACCGTTACATAGTACGTATACGAACGGTTAGTGACTGGCGATCTGGACGGCAGCATACTCATGCAGCAGATTGTTTGTTGTGTGGCTGATGCTGACCATCTCGCTGGCGCTCTGCATTTCATGGCTCCGGAGGTTCTCTGAAAGGTTCTCGCACTTTCGACAGACGAGCAACTGGGACGATAATCAGATATCTGGAGTCTTGGGTGCATCCTTCTGGATCTGGCGGAGGGCGTTATCGGAGCGAGTAGGAAGTACTTATGGAAGAGAAACCATAAAGGTGCCAGGTAAAATACGACACGTACAAAGAAATCACGGCAAATACGACAAGGTTTGCGTACGCCAAGTTATTATTGGATGATGGGTATTGTCCGCTTGTTGATCCGGACTTTCCAGCTTGCTGTTTCGGTCTGGCTAAAGAGGTCGAAAAATGTTTGTTCATCCGGCCAGACAACAGAAGTTTTGCCGAGGAAATTTCAATATAAATGGGGACAAGGGAAGACAATTAGTCAGTTTTTAGTTTGATTTCTATACTGCGAGAAGGTTTAATCTGACGAAATCACCATCTGCATTATGTGATGGTTAAGTTTGTATTCCCAAGGGCATGGTAGTCACAGATCAACGCAGCGACGTTGCTGGTGTAACCGCATTATCGCATCTTCATCGAACCGAAGACGCTCTGAGACTGCCATTAATAGCTCCTGCCCCTCATTCCATTCCCTGCCATCACGCTTAGCATGTCCTGACCCGCGATACTTCGCCCAATCAAAGTCGGGCTTGTTCCCGCCGTCATGGGATACGCTCAATACCACACAGGCCACATTTTCACATGAATGCAAACAGTTATTCCTACCAAACCAGGACACTGCGCCAGCGAGTATCCGTCTTGCATGTTATTCTATTATTATGTTGGAGATTGGTGACACGTACGTAGTCACGCACAATCGAGATTGTAACCGTAGTGGAATTGTAACCGTAGTGAAATAATTGTTGCCACACAAATAAGAAACGAACAAATAAAGAACGATCGAAAATGGCTTCGTTGTTGTAATTTATTGTCGCCGTAATATTGAAACTTTTGGAAGCAAGATTTCCATAAATACAGTATTCATGTTGAAGATACAACCGCACTAAAAAATTCCGGAAATGGTAAAGTGTTTGACGGCAATCTGTCATGCCACGGCTAAACCAACGGTAAAGGTTATTTGGTACGGTTTTTTGGAACGGTAAGGTAATGGCGGCGGCAAAGGTAAAGGTGAAGTTGAAAAAGGCAAAGGTAAAGGGGAGGCAGAGGAAATCTACGCCTACCACTCAGTAACTCATTTCGCTGGATCACTGCAATGTTTAATACAGAACTGGAGAAATATGAATTTTCGTTTCTGGGACACCCTCATACTTGTATACGCAATTTTTTAAATTATTTCCTAAAAACTTTAATTCTTATGTTTGCCATGAGCAAGGATATTAAGTGGATCAGCTTACTTTGCCCAGGAGCAACAACTTTGAAAACTTCGATGATGGATCAGCTCATTATGCGGAAGTTAATGGATTTATGTTTGATTTGCTTTACTCAAACGCTGCTTTAATGTTAAGAAAATGACTCCCGATTTATTATGGTTGCCGAGTTTGTCAACAATTCGGTTTGGAAAGTTCCTCCGTAGCTGTATGCCGGGGCCAAGGTCAAAAAGAGGAAGGAATAATTAAAGGAAGGAAATTTTTTTGGTCAAAAAGAGGAAGGAATAAATAAAGGAAGGAAATTTCATGGTCAAAAAGAGGAAGGAATATTTAAAGGAAGGAATGTTTTTTTGACCAAAATGGAAGAAAATTTCGATGGTAAAAAAATGAAGAAAATTTTCGTGGTCAAAAAAGGAAAGAAATTTCGATGGTCAAAAACAAAAAAATTTTTTGCAGTTAATGCGCTAAGAAAATTTTTAAAAAGTTTGGGGAATTAAGTACTTACGCGTTACTTTCCGTTTGATCAAGTAATGCAGAATAAGCGTTACAGCCGAACCTATTAATTTTACGATAAGAGTACGAACGGCGCAAACTGTTCTTACAGAATGTTTTAGAAGTCGGACGTTTAAATAATAATGATGCGGTCTTTCGATTAAACTGTGATGGTATCCAAATTTACGCTGCAAATTCACAGTTTCAGTGTTAAACTTAAACAAGGCATACTATGTTCACATAGATATCTTAACGTGCACAAAATAAGTAACCGCAAAAGAAGAACTTAAGTAAACACAAAATTAGTATGTCCATCTGACCACAAATTCCACAATGTACACTACTACATATCAGCTGAACAAATTAAGATCAAGGAGATATTAACTGTTGTCAGACCAACGAAAAATTAGCTGCTGTCAAATAGCTCTCCGAAACTCTACGATAACTTTGAGTTCTTGCAAAATGTAAAATGTATTGTCAACTGAGGTGCCGGTGTCCGTTTGCTATAGTCACAATGACAGATTCGTATGTACTCAACATCATCATCGTGAGCAGAAGACTCGATACTTATTATCAGCTGTAGTTGCGTCACATTAATTGGCCACATTAATTGTTACATTAATTAGTTACATTAATTGGTCACATTAATTGGTATTTGCGAGAATTTGTCTAGAACCAGACATAACCCACGAGTTTGCTACCGGAACGTGAGACTACACCATGCCATGGTGCTTTACTGAAATGAGTGAATGAGGAATAACGCATCTTTCTTACCCAGTCTGCCGCTGCTTGTGATTTCACTTCATTTTGTAAAAAAGGCAGGTGACTTACTCTTACTGATAAGTCACGTATCACTGCATGAACGCAGAGTCGCAGACTAAAAAGTTTTAACCCCCGCAAAAACGGCGCAAAGCTTTTGTCTGTTGTGTGTCAACCGTTAACGTGCTGCGGTGTATGTACACTGTAAATAAGGAATATTAATAGCAGGAAGTATTCAGCAGGATATGATTTTAAAATGGGGGCTGCCTCATCGGGCATCAAAGGCGACCGCCACTGCTGTTATTCTTTCATTGAGAGGCTGATTCAGGCCTCAACGATTCAGCACATCAAAGCGAATAACGTTGTACTGCACTGAAGCACTACCGTATTTCTTATGTAATTCTATTGCATTTGTTGTTGTTAAGTATTCGTTTTCTTGTTATTTTGGCAACAAAATATTCCTAGCACCAAGGCACACTAAGAGCACATGTATTTACTTGAAATCGTAAAATTAATAGGGTTTGCTGTAACGCTTAATCTGCATTACTTGATCAAACGGACAGTAACGCGTAAGTACTTAATTCCCCAAACATCTTAAAAATTTTCTTAGCGCATTAACTGCAAAATTTTTTTTTTGTTTTTGACCATCGAAATTTCTTTCCTGTTTTGACCACGAAAATTTTCTTCGTTTTTTTTACCATCGAAATTTTCTTTCTTTTTGGTCAAAAAAACATTCCTTCCTTTAAATATTCCTTCCTCTTTTTGACCATGAAATTTCCTTCCTTTATTTATTCCTTCCTCTTTTTGACCAAAAAAATTTCCTTCCTTTAATTATTCCTTCCTCTTTTTGACCTTGGCCGTATGCCGGAGAGAATGTAATGAATGGGTACAGTGTACTTAGCTATTCGCATCAACAGACCACCCAAGCATTCAAATATCCTGATAGTAAAAAATGAATGTAGTCAAAAATTTCATCTAAACTTTCTCTAAAATCTGCAAACACTGAACGCAAAATCTTTTGGTAAGAAACTCCGAGCAAGCCACATAAAGGAACGTTTACATATTATTGTAGCTGCTGTGATCAGCAGTTTATCATGTTTGTGTATGAGGAATCCGGACTTCTGATCTGCATATTTATAAAAAAACTTTAGTTGGAAGCAATGACTGTGTAAAATAGTTGATTTCGTAAATTTTGTATTACCAGAAAATTCGAATACGCGGGCGTCCGTTCATCAAAACGTACAGTGAACATGATCCGTTATTCAGACAAGACGGAGTAGTCAAACAACTAGGTAGCACGGCAAGGCCGCAGGCAGCAATTGTATCATCTGTCTGGTGTCTGTACAAAGGTTTTGCTCATACATGCGATGACTGGCGCAGTAGGCATTCGGTTTGACGGTACTTTGAGTTTGAACCTCGTGACTTAAGAAATCGTGTTTCTGTTCTGATACCGTCGTTTCGTAGCCGTAGTGCATGAGAAGAAGACAAACTACGTTAAGTCTTTTATAGCCATATTTCTGTTGCTGTACGTAAAAATATTGAAAAATTTGTTGAACTTACAACGAGCGCAAAGGAAATGCCTTAGTAAGTCCATCAGCTGACAACCATGTTCTTAACATTTCCATACGCCTACAATTTGTAATGTTTGTCTTTACAGCCTCCCAGCACTTCCCTTCATAAGACCATGGGAGCTTCTGCTGGAAAATGAGCTGCCATCGGTAAGAAAATAACCCATCTCACAATAAAAATATTACGTCTTGTCTTTATTGCGTGGCAGTATTTTGAACCATGCAACACGTAAAAACTTATTGGCTCTTAAGTCTTGGCTCGTGGACTTCTGCCATTGCCTCGAGCGCCCATACAGATGAATTCTTACGTTAGAAATATTTTTCAAAAGTGACGATAGCCAAATCACGATATATTTTGAAACTAGTACCAAACTGTATTGCACGATTTTGCAGTTACCAGATGTCTTCCGTCAAGTTCTGGTGGCTCACGAGACCAACGGGCGACGCTATGACGAGTTGTCCCATACCGCTTACGAAATCGTTTCACGCCAACACGGCGCAGAACTGTACGAAATGTTGCAGGGTATGATTGTTGAATATCTCAATCAGGTATGTAAAGTATCTGTAGCAAGTGTGTTGTATCGATCACGATCATCAGCCAAAGATGATAGCTAAAGCTCTGTAAAACCATTGCACCCCAAATCGGATACCTGCATGAGAGAAAACAGTGCAGTCTCTTGGCTTTCTCCAGCGCATACCAACCAAACAATAAGTAATTTAACCAAAGAATAATTGAATCTATGGTAAGAAAGAATAATTTATTCTATTGCTGGGCTATAAAGCTCAACTTTTTATTAAAATTTTTCATACAGTATTTCTGCTGTCCGGAAACTGAACATTGTGTTTTGTCAACTTTCTTAACTGCGTTGCACGGTTGCAGAATTCTGAGCCTGAAAACGTTTTGGGCTTCCCAGAATTTGAGCGAAAAGAATATCAGAAATGTTGACAATGTTGCGAAAAAAACACAAGATAATTGTCATAAATCGTCAAAAGCCCTTTTAGGAATGTTCCCAGTATGAACGAGTATTGCCTCCATTAAATTTTTCTATATTTAGTTAATGAATGGTACTAGTAAAATTGTGGGTGGAATGGGCTGAACGAGATTTTGAGAGCAGATAAAAAATAGGTAAAAAAAACTTTTGGAAACCTTTTGAACCAAGTTTCTGTATCCCTTCAACGCTTCGGGTACGCAGTGCCCGTAAAAGAGTGCACTTTCCTTACCGCTCTTCTTAAAAGCAACCAAACTGTTTGTACAATCAGGTTCGCGAAGATGTTACTCAGCTATCCGAAGACGAATTTCTTGCCGCATTAAATACCACGTGGAACCATTTTAAAAGAGGTTTGTCACTCATCAAGGTTATTACGGCGTACATGGTAAGTCCATTACACTGAATGGTCAAATTTAGTATCAAAAGAGTATCTTGATGCATCTTCCTCTGCATCGTGTAGGACAGAGCGTACGTAATACGCAATGAGCTGGACAATACAGAAAATCTGGGTTTCCGAATCTTTCGGGATCACGTTGTTTATCATGAAGGCATCCGTGAAAGAGTACGAGTGAATATGTTGGATAACCGGCGCCGAGACAAAATTATTGATGGACTTGTACTGCGCAATGCGTATGAAATGCTGATAGATCTCGGCAAGGGAACGGTCGAAGTTTACCAGGAAATCTGCGAACACCCGTATTTAGCGCTGTATGCCCACCTTTTGGTAAGCAAGAAAACAGTAATAGTCACGTTGTCATAACGGAACCAGTGCGTCTCGTAGTCTATGACACAGGTTTACCTCGCGTATATTGAGCACCTCACTAAAGTGAACATCGAACAAATCAGCTGAAGCCGATCTAATCATTTACTAATATTTAGTCTTTTTGAAATGGAAAAAAGCGCCAGAATCTGGTTTCAGGAGCGAAAATACAAAAAGTGTACCCGGGTAGCCATTCGCTCGTTACAACAACACCACACGATTTTTGATTTGTTATGCGCGAAAATAGCTTATAAAAGGCTCGCTAACGGGGCTGTCCCCCTTGAGGCGGCGCCTGTTCGCCCTCAGGAGCAGCTTTAGTGCGCAGAACCAGTGCCCCCAGGGGCGGCTCCTGGGGGCACCTGTTCTGTACATTGAGCAAGCGTCTACATCGAACGAAAAATTTGGAACCGCAGGTGTTCAATATACGCAGGTCTTATTGTACCAACTTCAGCAGAGTCAAATACGTACCGTTATTACCTTACACTACCGTGGTGCGGCAAAATACCCAACTGGCTGTTTTGCCGGCCATAGTGCGGCAAAATAGCTTAGCAGCTTTTCTAACACAGTGTGCGGTAAAATAGCCTACAAACTATTTCGCCCACCATAGTGAAGCAAATAGCCACTTCGTACTTGAAATTACGTGTTCTCCGTGCGGACTGGGTAATTTTTAAGCGTGATTTTTGTAATTTCAAATTTTAGATAGTTTTATCAACATATACTTTCCGGTTTTAAGTTTTGAGTGTTCCCGATTAAAAACAGTAGACAAACATATCGAGAAACAGATAATGATTTTAAAATAGACTCTAAAGAAAACGGTTCTCTCCCCTCTGAATGAAGCCCGTAAGCGGCCTTGAAAGTTTCTACCCTTTTAATTTTTCGTTTAAGTATTCAAAGACTGATTTCAGAGCTCGGTGCAAAACATGGGAAGCCAAGAAGTTTGCTTGTATGGCCGCAAGCAATACCACTACAATCTTCTCGATTACATTGGAAGCGGCGCCTTCGGAAGAGTGTTCAAGGCAGAAGTAACTAATCGGGTTTTACAAGAAGAAGCTCCATCCGTGGCGGTAAAAGTATTTCCGTTGCGTGCTAAAGTGCAAAATGATCCGGCAGCCTGGAATGACTGGTGCCGGCGACTAAGAGTTCTGTCGGAGCTATCTCATTTAAATCTTGTTCGCTACCACAAAGTCGCTGTAGTCCCCACAAGCGACGATCGACAAGTTCAAATTGTCATGGATCTATGCAGTAAGTAAGAGAATCTGAAGCTTCCTGCGTTCGAACGTCTCCATATTTAAATAATATGTAAAATCTTTTGAAAGGTGAGCGTCCGGGAATTTCGTCAAAACAATAACAACAGATTGATAACGCATTATCTTATTTTTACGAGTTTTGAACCAATAAGTTAACAAATTTTTGTTTTACTGTATTATTAAATTGTTTTGCTTTTATTATTCCTAACGTACCTTTCGTTGTTATCTTTTCACTGCCCATTACATCATTTCATTTTAATAAATAATTGCTTCTTTAATTCGTGATTCGCAGTCTGCAAATTTTTCTAGACGGTGGTGATCTTGCAAAGTTATTGGGGCAGCACAGAGAAAAGAACACACTTCTTGAGGTTGACAAAGCCGTTTGTTACGCAGCGGACATCGCCGACGGTTTAAATTTTCTACACTATAATAATATCATCCATGGGGATCTGAAACCGGGAAATGTCCTGGTACAGTCCGATCGGTTAGTAATTGGCGACCTGGATGGTAGCATACCCATGCAACAGTTTGTTACCTGTACGGCTGATGCCGAAAACCTTGCTGGTACTCTCCACTACATGGCACCGGAGGTTCTCGGAAAGCTGCTCACACTTCCGACAGAGGAGAAACTGGGACGAAAAGTGGATATTTGGAGTTTTGGGTGTATCCTTCTGGATCTGGCTGAGCGCGTTATTGGAGTGGGTAAAAAGTACTTGTGGAAAGTGAACCTGGACGGTACCACCATAAAGAAAGAAATCGGGGCAAACACGACAAAATTTGGGTACACCAAGTTATTACTGAACGAAGGCTATTCTCCGTTTGTCGATCCTGATATCCCGGCTTACTGTTTCCTTCTGGCAAAAGGGATTGAAAAATGTTTGCTCCGAAAGCCGGATGATAGGAGTTCGGCTGAGGAATTACCGGGCTTACTGAGAATAAGTAAAGACATTTAGTCATTTTCCGGTATGATGGCAACATGCCGATACGGTTTAGGCTGACAAATTTAACATATTATTGGCATTACGCCGAGTGCTTATTATTGGTAAAGTTTGGTAGTTTATAATTATTAAATTTGGTAAATGGTTTATTTGGTAATCGTTATCCGCCGGTGGCATGCGTTATCCAAATAAACGCTGTTTGTTATCCAGAAACGCAACCAACTATACGTTGCACCTTGCCCCGAGCGGAGGAAAGCAATGCCGGTCAGCCACCGGGTCCGGATACACGTGGAAACCGAGCATCTGGAAACGTCTGCAAAAGAAACCGCGATGATTCGTTGCAGAAATCTAACAAGCGGCGGAATTCCCGTGGTGATTCCATGGTACCTTCCGTTGGGAACCTACTCAACATAGCATCCTGCTGACCTTCACCAAGTACAACTAGGTCGTCATGCAGCGATTTTGTTGACCGGTAATATGATATTACAGATTCAGCTGTCGATATCGGCGTTACTGCAATTTATGGGTATCAGTACTTATCATTAATTTTGTAATTGCTTTGTTTATGTTTAAGAAGCCAGCTAATCATCGTATAAGTTGCGTTATCTAATTGGTATACCCCACTGTGACTGATTATTTCGGCCAGTGACCGTTTTCCGTGAGAGTTGCAGGACTGCATGTTTTTATTGATCATTAATTTGGATTCATTAAGCGTGGGACAACTGTAGAAACTGGAAGACTTGGAACGAATTTATTATAAACGGGGCACGCTGAATTAATCTGACTTTAATTTCGGCTTTTTCGCTTTTCATCATAGTAAAATTAATAAATGTCTAACGAAGTCAGCCGGTTAGCAAATGTTTTGCGATTATGACAATGGCAACCATGGTTGGATCGGTGACCTTAACTTTTTTCTGCTCTTGTTATTAGCGTACACATACTAGCAACAATAGCGTATAACATCACTGGTAATAACAACCATCAAAGCTACAAAGCAGCAAATGTTGTCGGTTTCGCCTTGCTGTCATATTTTAAATCAAAAATCGACCTTGAAAAGAATTTTTTACGAACTTCAACCGATTTAAACAGAAAAAATCAGCCATTTGCACAGGGACAGCCCATTTCCTAACCGCTTGCACGCAGCCAGAACCCGTGTAAACACCGGTATGTGCAATCAACACCGCAGTAACGACGTAATAATACTTAATTGCGTCCCCGTCTAGCAGCGCGCCCTGTTGGTTGTCGCACCGCACTATAGCACGCATGTAACCGGCAAAACTGTCCGGACGGATAAACCGTCCGCCGGTCGGTTTTGCCTGTAAGCCGACAAAACCGTCCGGCGGTCCAAAAAACGTCCGCCGCAAATTTTGCCCACCCAATTTTTTTAATGCTCTATTCGATCTTGTGAACCACCCAGACGGCATGTTTTGGGTATTGCCGGAGTGTATATTCGGGGTGGGGGGGGGGCGGACGGTATATACACTCCGGAATTACCGTCCGGCTCCAAATATACACTCCGGCAAAACCGTCCGCCCCCGATTTCGCACTCCGGGTCGTTCCAAAGATTGAGTAGTGCATAAAAAATTGGGTAGGCGAAATCTCCGGCGAACGTTTTCTTGGACTGCCGGACGGTTTTGCCGGCATACAGGCAGAAGTGTCCGGCGGACGGTTCATCCGTCCGGACACTTTTGCCGGTTACACGTTATCCCGCTGTGGCAAGCTTGATGCAGTTCGTATCCTCTACGATGACATGGTGCTGGTGGCATTTCCAATATAGGGATTACCAGGAACTCCACAAAATCACGGATGATGAAAACCTGAAGAGTCAGTGTCTATTCTTCTAGCTGCTCATCCACCCTCTTAATCTGACAAACTGTTTGGGAGTTTTGTTTCTGTTTCGAGGTGAACTGCGGGTTTCCTGACATTGAGTCGCTACATGAAAAATTCCTGTGAAATGGCGCTTTTGTGATGTATCTGTTTATTAGTGGGCAACCGTTGTATTCCTGCCGTAACAATCTCGTTAAAATATAAATTCTGTCTGTCTGCAGCAACTTTTCTCGAATCGTGCCAAGAAGGTTGACTTGGTGTCGGATTTCCTACTTTTGCATATCCATTAATCATTACTATCACAAACGGCAAGTACAACATAAAGACATTACGTAATCAAACCTGTTAAGTAGTATAGCTTTTAGCAGGTTCGAGTTTGTTACTTCCTTCCTGTCATTCAAACCGTTATATTTTCCGAAAGCAGTCTATAGAATACTGTTGGTTACGACAGTACGACGGATGTCAGCAAAACTGAACCGGCTCAGTCTTTTTCCAACACCGAAGAAACATTAACAATTTTTATGCGGTCTCAAACAGTTTCCGTTCTCGGGCACTGCGGAGTAATAAAGGCAAAAAATTATACTTTTGTTTGTTATTGGATTTGGGATCAATGTTGATAGTATATCAGCAACCGGCAAGCAGCAACCGTCAACGTCTGTTTGCACATCTGAGCTATGCCATCACGTTGGTACGTATACCATTCGCAAATCATTCAACAAAAGCAGTAATATGCGGAGATTAGCGCTTATGGAGATTTCCTCGTTTGATGATTTTAGAATAAATTTCCGTTACAACTGCTTTTTTGAAAACCATTGTTGCCAATGGGCATTGACTAGGAAGTCGACATTTAGCTTTCGGTGATTTAATTTGTAATTTTGTCAGCCCATGATATCATCTCCACCATGGATCCGACCGTCGATCCCTGCGTGGATTTCTACGCATACGCCTGTGACCGTTGGAACGCCAGTGATCCGTATGATTATGGTCAAATCGGCGTTTTAATGACAAAAATTCCTAATCAGCTTCAAGGTACTGGTTTTTACGGTTAGGCGTTCACTATGTGGTGACTCTCCATAATGCCCAGTGTTACGCAATACCGCAGTTTCTTTAATATTGCATCCATTGTGTCCGGTACGGTATTTGGCATTTTGTCTCGCAGTGATCGGTCAACGCTATTATACTGTAAATATAACGAAAATTAAAACAAACCACAGAGCATTGTTACTGTTAGGATTGGAAATGTATTACGTGTGCGTAATCAGTAGCTGATCTATGAGTGTACAATCTTCATAGCTGATCAGTGAGTGTAACGTCCACTCAGTACACCTATCCCTAATGATGATCAGACTTCTGGGAGAAGTGCTGACTAATGTATGACTGTTATGTTACCAACTGTGGTATATAAGCGCGTGTTGTACAGAACATCTATGAACATCTTGTGGACATCACTGAATGAACAACTGCGGATGTGTCTGAGTTGGTTCGTTAGTACAGTTAGTACGGTAGTCAGTTATCACCTTCCTACAGACCACTATTTAATTTTCAAGAGATTATGAGACCTGGTTTTGCTCTTGGATGGATCTGTTGGCTCAACCAGTATCTTGCGCGTATGGTGTGTTGTTATACGGCGGATGGCTGTGTTGAAGAGATCGAAGGTGACGGAACTGAATAGCTCCAACTGCTCCGGATGCGAGTGCATGATGGAGTAGTGCTAACTGGTGAGGGAGAAAGGTCAAGCGTGGAGGGTACGTGTCGGATGCCGGTGAAGGATCCGAATGACGAGGAGCGAAACCTCTGACAAGGCGATTGGCAGGAAGCCAGTGCTTGCAAGTTTGCCCGCGTCGTGGTACGCCTCGATCGTGGCATCATGGAGAATGGTGGCCAGACCTGCCCCTCAGATGTCGGTGTTCGGGAAGATCTGGTAAAGAGTGAAGATCAGAGCGACAAATTGGACGCAAGATCGAAAGAAGGCGTGGACTGTGTTCTCCACGAAGTGAATCGGCAGATGGATGGGATTACGAGCCAATTCGACGTTTGGATCGTTTGGGTCGTACGACTACGGACCAAAGAAACGGATACCCGACGGGTGCGAACAGTCTCGTGTGAATCCTACCAGTCAAGCCAGCGGACCGAGAAGAATTACGACGAGGGAAGTACGCTTCAGTACAGCGTAGTGTAGTCGTCGAGGAACCAACAGAGAAAAGTGAAGGTAAAGCGATATTGCCGACAAGCGGGCGACATGCTGTTACCTAGAAAGCGATGGAAGTCCAAAGGTCAACTCCAACGGTCAAAGCTATGCGCAGGAGGTTTGTAATTATAGGAAACTTTAGTACGTCCAAATTTTGTATTTAGAAAAGATGTACGAACCCGGATTGTAGCTTTACGAACCCGGATTGTAGGATAATAGCTTTACTTTAGCGCCTTATGTTAAACTCCTTCACACTATGCCGGGATTGTGTGAAGTACTGCACAGTGGTGTAGTCATCCACATGTACCTAATTCCGTAAATCGGTGAAAACTGAAAAGTCATAAAGTCAGTACTTTATGTAAAGTACTGCCAATACTTTGTACCTCCCGCATGCCGTGAATCCGTGAATCGGTGAAAGGTCAGTACTTTTCATAAAGTCAGTACTATATGTAAAGTACTGCCAATACTTTGTTCCTCCCGCATGCCGTGAATCCGTGAATCGTTGAAAGGTCAGTACTTTACATAAAGTCAGTACTTTATGAAAAGTACTGCCAATACTTTGTACCTCCCGCATGCCGTGAATCCTTGATTAGGTGAAAGGTCAGTACTTAACATATAGTCAGTACTTATGTAAAGTACTGCCAATACTTTATACCTCCCACTTGCCGTGAATCCGTAAATTGGTGAAAGGTCAGTACTTTACATAAAGTCAGTACTTTATGTAAAGTACTGCCAATACTTTATTCCTCCCGCATGCCGTGAATCCGTGAATCGGTGAAAGGTCAGTACTTTTCATAAAGTCAGTACTATATGTAAAGTACTGCCAATATTTTGTTCCTCCCGCATGCCGTGAATCCGTGAATCGTTGAAAGGTCAGTACTTTACATAAAGTCAGTACTTTATGAAAAGTACTGCCAACACTTTGTACCTCCCGCATGCCGTGAATCCTTGATTAGGTGAAAGGTCAGTACTTAACATATAGTCAGTACTTTATGTAAAGTACTGCCAATACTTTATACCTCCCACTTGCCGTGAATCCGTAAATCGATGAAAGGTCAGTACTTTACAGAAAGGCAGTACTTTATGTAAAGTACTGCCAATACTTTGTGCCTCCCGCAAATTATATCAGGGTGTTAGAGGTTTACTTGAATCTTGCACGACGTTGTCAGGAGTTCGTTCTATGGACGCTCCATCAGTTACGCGGAAGTGGACCAATAAATTCTATGAAAACTGCAACTCAGTCTTCTCGTGAGCGAGCACACGAGAATGTCCAATTACTAATGGTCCTATTATTGAAACTTTCTTAATACAAAGTACTATAAACATAAGGGTTGTGTAACGGTGTTGCCCACTAACCTTTTAATGTTTCTGTGTACAGGTTGGCTGTTATTAGCTTATACGTAATAATTTAATGATTAACCCAGTTTTTGTTTTCATTAGTTGCTAGTAAGGTGAACTCCATTATTTCCATCAGATGTCATTAGTGACCATTACCACTTTAAATTTTGGAGTGCAACTTTCCAGAGTACAAAAAGCACAAGATTTTATCGTTATCTGTAATACAGGGGTGCCGCGCCAAGTTCGGACAGTTGCGAAAATTAAATTTGAAATATTTGTGTGCTTGGTTCTACTCTTTATTTTGCAGTTTTCTAGTGTAACGTTTTAATGCGGATTTGAATATGCTAAAATTTGAAATGCTAAATGGCATAATAAGTAGTCAGCCAATTAAAACCTGGATGGGGTAGTAGTCATTTCCAGAGGGCTCACAACTGACCTTCTAGAAAATTCCCCACGTGACATTTTTTCATGGACATTTTTCTAAACTGTTTGGTAGCGTTAAAGGTATGTAAAAGTGGTCAGTAGAAACTTTCCCGTGGCTGGTGCTCGAGGTGACCCAGAAAGAAGGTGCACGCACCTCCCATCGACTTGTATGTTAAAAAGTGCTTCCGGAAAAATGTGGTTGCCAAGCGCGCAGAGATTCATAACTTCGAGATCATGTTTTCGAGGAACGAGACATGCATCAAAGTAGAGGATTTTTGTATCCTATCTGTTATCTACCAAGCATGCAATAAGTAATATAGAGGTGGCAGAAGAATCGGAGAAAACACCGACAAAGCAGTGGCCAAATAAATTTTGCGCTGGTGCGAAAATCTCCTGAAACGGGATGTCGCAGGCCTTTTGGGCAAACAGAAAAGCCTAAAATGTTGCTCAATGCTTAGCCAACGAGTTTTTTTTACATACTTGACTCATCCGACCTACTGCGATTCCTGTGCGAGCTCTCGCAGAGCACCGTCCACAACTCTGACAGTGCCTCCAGTAATACTGCAAAGGTCACGTCGCCATCATTGGAACAGAATGGAATCAAAAGAATTTAGCAAGGGCTTTGAATGACAAACAGTTTAGCGTAAACTTTTTTGGACTGTAGCACCTGTGGAATTTCTTGACAAATTTTAGATGGGAGGGAGACTAGGATGGTCGTTGGGTCGAACCGCATTTTTAATCAGGTTTGCATTACTTTAAATCTCGCTGTAGTGCAAGCCACGCCCTCAGCCGCGCCACTCATAGTGAAAAAGATGCGTAACACATACGGTAATAATAAAAAAATCGAATAACTGGTAATTTGTTGGTGGGTGTCCTATAGTGATTTTTAAGAGGAACTGTCCGAAATTGGCGCGGCACCCCTGTAATATATTCAATATGGCTGCGTGCGCGGGTAAACACGGGCGTTGGTGGGGTGCACCGGGTGGATCTTAGTGTCCACGCGGGTGTTGGCTATGGGCACGGAGTTCATGCACGGGCGCTGGGTGTGTGTACAGCTAATTTATTTATTTTCTGATCTTCTGTTTCGCGGATTTTATAATAATATATATAAAATATTCAAATATAATATATATATATATAATAAATTTATATATATTGTAAATATATATATTGTATATATATATATATATATATATATATATATATATATATATATATATATATATATATATATAAAATATATATAAAATATATATAAATAATATAATATTTATATATACATATATATATAATATATAAATATATATATTATATATATATTCTTATGTTTTCCTATATTTTGTCATGTTTTTTATGCTTTCTGATGTTTTCTTACGTTGGGAGGGTCGAAATAACAGCGTATCGTTTCCTGTTACTTATCGTTATTGTTCAGGCTACACGAGACTTCGGCTGCCTGAATCTTGGGCCGGCCAGCTGCTTGCATTAATATTATATTGTTTGAGAAGTGTGATAATTAACTGCTGAATGTCCCGGACAGGACAGGCTGATGGTGCAAATAAATGGTGATGCAATGCAAATTTTTTCTACGGTTTAATTTAAGGTTTGTTCTTATTGGAAAGCCAAATCATGACACCATTTAATCGGGGTGCTAAATTAAAACAGCTTTGCGGTACCGTACATCATTTTTTAGCATGTTATTTTAATAAATGAGTGCACTTGCTTTGTAACATTTGTGCTTACTGTAAAATACGGTAAACTTACGCCTGTTTTGATTGAAGATTTTTTAGGCTGTTTAAGAAAGTACAATAACGAGCTTTGCTCGAGCGGAGCGGAAAGCTAACAAGCGGCTTTATTGCAACTCACTCAGCCGTGTCACTGGACTGCCTTCCCTTGGTGGCTGGCTGTTCTGCACAACCTGGGCACGGTGATCACGAATTCTCGCTAGTTTTTATGTGATCACGAATACTAAGCCTGTCCTCGTACCAATGCAAAAGAAAATACGAGTAATTAAGTAAGTTTTCAGAGTTTTGCAAGACCGGTTGCGATTTTAAGCAGTGCCCCCGTCTAAATTTTTTTAAGTACCCACTTTTCCGAAATTCTAAAAGGGCACGTCCTCCATCTCACCCATCCTACAGTTTGTTTCCTATTTTTTGGTTCAGAGACGAAAAAAAGGTGTGGCTCATTCACAACTTTACACAGTTTACAGAGAATGAGAATATTAAATTTTCGACTCTGTGCATTCTTTATATACAGATAAATCCATCAGGTTTAAAATCAGTCTTACAGCCGTAGTAGCACAGTGCGCACACAACCGCACTCGCTGCAGTAAGTCGGAACCAAAAATGCGCCGTGGTAACAGCGGTGGTAAAATGGAAAATACTGTTGCCGCAGGATGATGTTATACCCCAGAATCTGGTGTTTTAAACATAGAAACGCATTCGCATAATTATGTATGTAGTAGAAAAGTCCCGATTTTGGATGCCTCCTACCATTACAGATTTTTGCGCAATTGCGCGTGCCAATATTAGCATCAGGCTGCGATGTGAGAACCCCCCGGCCCCCAGGGGCCAAATAAATTTCAGGGAAGGTAAAAACAAATTATACCATGCAAGCAGTGCAGTCAACTATCGTACGGTTCGTACCTACTTATCAATTGTCACAGGTTGCTATGTAACGTACGATGCGCAGTACAGCACCGCAGTACGAAACTCCTGCGCATAGCCACTTCGCAACTCCAACAGCGGAGTGCTTGGACCGGAAGCCGGTGTGCTTGGATTGAACGATAGGCGCACTGAGTGAAGGGGGGTGTTAGGATTGGAAATGTATTACGTGTGCGTAATCAGTAGCTGATCTATGAGTGTACAATCTTCATAGCTGATCAGTGAGTGTAACGTCCACTCAGTACACTTATCCCTAATGATGATCAGACTTCTGGGAGAAGTGCTGACTAATGTATCTGTATGACTGTTATGTTACCAACTGTGGTATATAAGCGAGTGTTGTACAGAACATCTATGAACACCTTGTGGACATCACTGAATGAACAACTGCGGATGTGTCTGAGTTGGTTCGTTAGTACAGTTAGTACGGTAGTCAGTTATCACCTTCCTACAGACCACTATTTAATTTTCAAGAGTTACAGTTCCTGAACGTACCAGAAGAGCCTTTATTACGTTGGTCCAGAGTCTACTGGCTATTTTTTCAGACCTCTTTGACAGTGGGAACTACAGCCATCCAACCGAAAAGAAAGCCATAGATATTTACCACCAGTGCATGAATCAAACGCACGAAATTTGTAAGTTACTGAAGCACGCGTCAGCTTGGCTAATCATAGTTCTATATTGTTTTATCAGAATCGTTTCCCATGTATGGCATTGCATAAGAAGCACTACCATCCGCTTCAGCGCGCGACTACACACTGTATTCTGGGGTTAAATTGAGCCGAAATCTACAGTATGCCCTATGTTATACGGTTGGGGTACACTTTGCAACTCTAGCTCAACTGAACCCGAAAATATAGTGAACAGCGACGACTGGCGGCGGTTGGCATTGAATTTCGGAAAACTTTTCGCTCAGATATTTACTTACGGTACTATTATACGAGTACTTTGTGTACTTAATTCTGGGATGGACTTGCTCATTAGCGACACAAGTCTGAATTAATTTGTTCATATGCGGAACCGTTGATCCATTTGGACCAGCTGCCAACATAAAATTAGTTATGTCCTGCCGCGCACTGCAATACCCGGCGTTTTACGTAGAGGGTGCTTCTTTGCGACGGCATATCAAAAAATGCATTTGTGACGCAAAAACTTCGAATCACAAAAACATCCCATTGAATAATGTTTCCACAGCCTCAGAATCCCGCGACCAAACCTTGTTTAGCACCGTGAACGACCTGCTGGGTGGATGGTCACTGCTCAATGAACAGTCCAATGTGTCCGCCGTTCGTCTGAAAGACACTCTCATTCGTCTGCAGCAGAACAACATCCAGACCTTCGGTCTTCTGTACGTTGGTGACAATATCGTGTCCGGCGACGAGCAGATCCTGTACTTCATGGCGCCTGAACGTCTCGCACTGCGGGCCGCACAGTGGCAGCCAAATGCACTGGACAACGCCCATGTCAACAGCACCATTAATAACACATTCGTAAAACTGTTCCAAGCTTGGATTCCCATCGTGCAGCAGTTAGCTAATGCGACCAATACGAACGTCCAATGGTCTACAAACTGAAAACCGGCTAAAGGGAGCCATTATGTTAGAAGCCGTGCTAAATGCGGTGAGCCTCGATTCTATCAGTCATTAGCGGGTTTATTTTTTCTGATTTACAGTATGTTTGGATCATTTTATGTTGTGATCATTATTTGTTTTATACAAAATTTACTACATTTAACCTTACATTTCATTTTATTTTTTCAAAATCGCTTTATCTTTGAAAAAGGTTTCATTAATTGCTCAAACGATGTTTTACTTGTTTCCGAATTTCGTTGTTTGGAATTTTAGAGATTTTTTATTCAGGGTGTAAAAGGAAGCCAGGATGGTTTGAGGCGGATAGCGTTCGGTGACCTTTCGGCATCGCCATACCGTTCGCAGTTTCTGGCCAATTTTCTGCCGGTCTTCAATGCCATGCTGAAAGCTTTCAGGGTGAATTTCCAAGCCACAACGACCACAAAGTTTGGGGACACCAGAACAGGGTATCTTCTTCATCTGGACAAAACGATGGCGCAGTTGGAAGCGCAGGGAAACGCGGGACAGACGACATTGGCCGATTGGTTATGGTGGAACGCCGTCCATCGTTATCTCTATCAACCGACGCACCAGTGCGTGGAGCTGGTAAAAGCAAGCATGCCGTTGACCGTCTCGGGGTTGTTCTTTAAGACATACATCGGGCACAGAGCTCTACAAAAGGTCAACACAAAAACTTTTATTTATCGAACAGAGAGCGGTAATAAATGATTAGAACGAACTCTGATATCAAAATACAAAGTCTATTTAAGAACTTTTATAGATTACTGGATTTTATCCGATATGCGGAGGCAGATCATGAGCGAGGTCCCGCCGGCGCGCCAGCTCCAAGACTTTACACTGGCACTGCGTGGATAGCTGCACATATAGCATCAAAGTTATTTAGCTGCAGCACCGCACACCAGACGAATTCATAAGATTACGTTCAAAATTGTTAACCCATACATCGTCTTTAAAAGGTGCCGTAACAATAGCGTTCCGATACAGACAGCTGATGACGACTGGACCGGCATCCGGCACCTGCCAGCGATCTTCATCCTGGTACCGGTCCTTCAACCCGCATAATCTGAAGCCTGAATCCTTGCAGGCGAAGACAAGTTCCCCGTTCATCCGGATATTCCGTGACACAAAGTAATGCAATTCCCGCAGATGTTTCTCGCAGTTCTCCGTCATCTCCGGAGCCCCAATGTTTTCCATCAGGCAACCCATCATACTACGAGAACCACAATGACCATCGACTATCCAGTTCAATATCGAAGTGAAACTTCACTTACTGGTGCGCGGGCGCATGCATATTGCCTCCACAACAGTTGCAGATTATGTTGGCAAAATCCGGTGAACCCGGGCTACCAATAGATCTATTGGTGACCCAGAGTCACTATGTTTTTGTAAAGGTAATGGTGGCTATTCTATTTTTAAATATCTTTTATCTTTTAAGGAAGAGAGTATGGGTCTTTTTTTCGGTATGAGCTTCCAAAACTGGAAGTTTCATTATTTGATGGGACACGGTATTCATGGTTACTTCTGCTTAATAGGCGAAAGTATTGACATCGGAAATTTCAAATGGGGTTCGCGTTGCGGTCCTTTTAAAAGCGGACTGGATGGACCGCGCAAAGCAAAATGCAGCGGTGGACAAGCTTAATCATACACTGCGAATGGTCGGTTATCCCGAAGAGTTCTTGCGCAACTGGACAATACTCGACCAACTTTATGCAAAGGCAAGTAAACCAATGCTTCATATTGTTTACATTTTACAGAAATTATTATTCTAAAACAAGACTTCACAAAAGAAGCAGTATTCAAAACTGCAGCCGAGTAAGATGTGTGAAAGGAGCAACGAGACCGTTCCCAGTTCGGAAGTCATCGAAATCATAATTAACGTTGTTCTTCATAACTTCAACACAACGAATTCCGGAAGAGCTGTTCGGTGGAGTCATAATCGTTTAAACGCGGCTAGTTTCGTCGATGTAATAAATTTGCCGGTCGCACTCCTAACTCTTTTACCAGTGTCAGTGGTCCCGTGGTTGGACCCTCGAGAGAACGATTGTTTCGAGGAACAGCTATCGAGCTGAAGGGCCGGCTGGGAAGAGCCATGCTGCGCAGTAAACTTGCGCTCGGTAACTTCGCGTTTCAAATATGCATTTCGTGCCGTTGGCGGACAAATCTGGAATGAATTTGGTGTTGAACCGTGGTGGCGAATTATCGCGGCTCTTTTAGCGGCATTACCAGTCGTCCGGGTTCGACCATCTACAGCCGGCCCGATTTTCTGACCTCCATTGTTCTTCTTCGATCGCGGTATAATACAATAGAGATGCCCGGGGAACAGTACATCGCGTAAGTCTGTGATATAGAATGTGCAGTACGGGTCACGCTGCCTCTGGCTCGATCTGACTCGATTCGCTTTAAGTGGTGTCTTTTACTCGATAACAGATTCGCAAGTGCAAAAGCATCGAGACTGCCGGGAGATTGCAAACAAAAAATGTTCAGATCGGGGCTGCTGAAAACATCGTATACAGGGACACATGTACTCGTACATACGGCGTAACTGAGAAGATGTAACAGGGGAGTTTGTCCAATGAACGCTAATAGAATTTAACGTGATTACTAAATTATTATTTTGGCTGATAAAGCTAGAATTTTGACATAATGCTCCGATACTCCGCTTGTAGATTGAATTAAAACGGACATTTACCGAGACACTGCGCACCATCGATCAAAGCAACAGTTGGATCAACTTGCAGAAACTCCTCATCCGCACCCGCAATAATCCGTACTATCCAACCGACCTCACATCGGCCAATGCAGAAATGATTCGTTACCGCAACTACGACCTTGGTACCCGATAACATCGCCGTTCACAAACATTATCAGACGTGTTGCATTCACGAAATTTTTGGTTTGCAGTAATTCCAGCGGCATATTTACAGCCACCCATATTGTACGCGGGCAACCTAGACATTGTTAACTATGCCCGGCTGGGTGCTTCTATTGGCCACGAATTCATTCACGGCTTTGATATTTTCGGTTATTCTTGCCTGAATAAAATTATTCCTTCATTCGAACAATTTTCCGTGGTGTGCTTAGGTAAAGACGTTGGAAAAGTCGGCAAACCGCTCAGTTGGAGGACGAATGTGACACAGAGCAACTACAATGCGAGAAAATACACCTTAGTGGATCTTTACAACAGTTTCAGTTCGCCCATCAACAGTGTGGACGGTCAGCGAACACTCAACGAGAACATCGCCGACAATGGCGGAATTCGTGCTGCATACCTGGTTAGTATTCTTATTTCAATAATAAAAAAGTTATATGGTGCGCAGATATTTGATTTTGCAGGCTTTTCATAATTTTATGAGCCGCACAGGATACCGCATCAAATTGCCGGGGTTGGAGGAAATGAACGAAGACCAACTGTTCTGGTTGGTTGCTGCACAGGTGACCTTTGTACCAATTGTTAGAATGGGAGCAACGTTTAACCGGAAGTTTGTTCAGAAATCTTGCACGCGGCATCCGAAATTGGCTGACCCCGAGCACGCACCGCTACGCTTCCGTGTGCTCGGAACCCTCATGAACAATCCGGATTTCGGTTCAGCTTACAACTGTCCTCTGGGGTCTCCGATGAACCCCTGGATTAAGGCGTGGTAGAGACGTCTCGCTTAACATTGCGTTGCTGTCAAAAAACACTAAAATCAGCAGATGCGGCGAATCTTAATTAAAAACTGATAAGAAAGAGCGCAAAAAAAGCGAAAATTCCCGTGATGGAAACCTCATCGTTGAGTGTTAACATTAGTGGGGAGAGCGTTACATGAAATAACTGGTGGTTATTCATAAAACTAGCTAGACATATTAATGGATTACATTCACCGATAACTGCATACCGGCTGTTGTAATTGTCGAAACCGTACGATTGGGCGTGTGAAAATTAATTTCGTTTTTCTAAAGATTCGACGCGCGACTTTTAGCTGTGAACGCATCTGGCCGCCGGACATGCGGACGCTGAAACATTATGCTTTGGGACGTAGTGCTTCGGGTTGTTCCCAATTTGCAGCAAGCAACAGCAAATTGCATCCCACTGAAATTTTCTTCGTTTTTATGTACGTATATGGGGATCACGGTTTTACTGAAAGCTCATCCGGGTTCTGTTCATAATAACGACAAGAATCAACCGAAGAAATACTGAACTTACCGAGAAGAAATATTCAGATTTAATGCTTTCGTGAACAGTTCCAGTATATGTAATCGGTAGTGGGGCAGTTTTTATTATCTCATAGCTGGGATAACCCTGCAGTGATTTTCGCCATAACCATGCTGACGATACAGTCATCATGACGCTACACATGGCTCTCAAATTTAAAGAATATAATGTTATTCTCAGTGAGTGAGTCCTGTTTTTCTTCAGCTGGCAATTCTCGTATTTACGAAAAGAATCCGTAACACATGTAAGAGCGAAGAAAATTGTACTGCACGGCAAGTCCCCGTTAGAGCGTGGCTAAGAAATGACTTCCTTGGAGAATTCAGACAAATTACCTTTGGTTGAAACAATGATTAGCGTTAATCATAGGAGCCTGCCTTGAGCGACATGCGCTGTCATGCGCAACCGTTGCTTTCAAAAGATTTTTGCAGCGACAATGATTTCCTGGAAGATATGAAATTGTCGCACTGAATTACCAGTTTATTGGAGATGTTAATAATCAGAAGACTCGATTGTCTATGTCGGAAGTCTTCCAGTTTCAAGAGAGCTTGCTCCACCTTGATTTGCCGAAGGTATTACAGACGAGCGTAAAATGTCGACGGGGGAAAAGACACAGCCGCTGCTTGCAAGCAGGTAGCCGGCAGGTGCATCTATCTAGTAATTATAGTCATGACATTTCCAAGTGAAATCGATAATCGATGAGATGAATATGGCAAAGAGGACCCAACCCGGCCTGCTGTCGGTACTATTTCCAACACAGAGCATATCGATACATGGCATGTTCCTGTCCGTTTTGCTTGCTTTTTTCCTGTAAATTCAGAATTCATCTACGGTGCAGTAACATTTATTGTCATCTTATTTATTTACTATAATTTTAATCGCTCACAAAATGACATAAAGTTACATCTGAGCGAATTATGGCGGCCGAAACTATATTTAGCGCCATTCATTGCAGCCTGGCTCGAGCGTCATATTTCTAACAAAAATCTGTTTTTCTGCCTCTCCTTAATTTTTGCTTCCGAGGATTTAATATTCAAGATTATCCCACGATTTCCGAGTCCCAAAAAATGGTTTTTCGGACAAACAGTATTTGGACTGATGATTATTTTGCAAATGCATCACAGGTCAGAGGCAACAACACGCTGAATATATATCACTCGCAACACAGCCCGACACCGTCTTCGTTGGCTACTTATACATGATTCTTGCTATCGTCAGCTACTGCAGCAACAGTTTTTCGTGCTCATTTATGTCCAATCTCCGCAACTCTGGACACCCTTCAACATCTACATTGTGACCTTATCGGCAATGGATTTCATCAAGTCCTGCACCAGCAACGTGGCGCAAATCAGCAACTATTTACAGTTCCGTTGGGTGTTCGGCGAATACGGGTGCTTGTTTGTCATTTACTGTGCACAACTGACCAGCGCGTGTATTGTGTCCGTTCACGTCCTTATCAGCGTCAGTCGGCTGTGGGCGGTGACCTTTCCCTACAGCTACCGCGTTCGACACACGCGGAAACTCGCGGCGAGCTTAATTGTGGCAGTGGTCGTTATTATCAACATGCTGTCGTTGCCCGTATTTCTCCATCACGACTGCCGCGCCCGTGGACCCGTCCTGGGAGATCTGTGCATTTACAACTTCGGCTATGATTATTTCTACAGCGCCCTCTACGGATACATCACGCACCCGTTGCCGCAAGCGCTGGTCACCGTTATCTATCCGGTCGTTTTTTGGAAAGTGAAAATTCTGCGCAAAACCCGTGCTGACACAATTACGCACTCTGTTAGTTTCGTGTCACGGTTTGGTGAGTCCACTGTGCCGGTGGGAACTCCCCGCCGAAAGGTCTGCCATCAAGACGAAAGCCGTGTGCAAAAGCGTAATACGCACTTTGTGGTTTTGACTATCCTTTTTGTTAATTCCTTGCTGTTTTGGACACCGGGTCATATCGTGTATTCCTTCATGATGACGTCTTCACGCTCTTTGCCTGTGAGAGCACTGGCTGTTGTGAATTTGTTGTTCGCCCTGGATTGTACCGTGAATCCACTGCTCTGCATGATGGCTTCCAAGCAGTGGCGTCAGGCTGCTGCGCACTGTCTCCGCCGCCTGCAGAACGAGCGAAGGAAAGCCCGGGAAAACGATGTTTGAAAAAAGAAGCTAAAATTGATTGCCAGACGTCGCACCTCAGTCTTTATTTTATAGTTCTTTTATTCTGTTGGCACTGGCAGTATTCCTCCCCAGTTGGTAATACATGTATTATGTCATATGTCAAAGTTGAAAATCGTGCCTTAGATAATTATTTGACGAGCTAGTTCGAGCAAGTTTTGGGTAATGGTTTCTATGTAACGTAATCTACCACGAAGACACTCCAAGTCGCTGTTTTTCAATAAAGATGATAGACGCTGCAGGTTTTAAATAACTGCGTATGACGTATGAAGTAGCATTGCCCTCGATCGTGTGAAAACCTGTGTAATGCCTACAAACAGATGTTTTTACCGCTTTTTACTAGCTTTCTGCCATTATTTCGGGGAGAGAGGATGGGTTTTATTTCGAAACGATTCACCGATTAACACAACACGCTAAACCTGCTGCTGTATGAATAACACGGACTGGAAATAGACAAGTCTCAGTGTAAATGAAAGCTATAAAAACAGTAAACATTCGACCACCGAGATGTTCTGTTTAGCATCATGAAGGTGTCTAAAAGATGATGAGGACAATAAGTAGGGTTGTTGATACCAGGCACTTGAGCGTTTCTATGGTATTGGTATTTTGGTATTGTTACATAATTTATGGCAGAGCAAAGTAATTAAAGGTCACGGCACGGCTAGACCGGCCGGTAAGCTATTATATGATAATATGCATTGATGGTAAACGGAAGGCAGGGAATTGTTATTAGGAAAGAAATCAGACAGAAGTACAAAGTGTACTGTCGAAAGTGGTACTGAATGCATGCGTCCGTGCATTAGAAGTGAAGAACATCAGTATTTGTAGGCAAAACAAGTAGAGAAGAATAATATCAGATAGCACGAGTGAGCATATCGCTCAAATGAATCAGTAAACAGTAGCAACATCATAAAAGTGAATCAGAGCTGTCGCTCAATTATCTATATAAAAATCATTACGTGACACTTCTCTCCGTGTGAAAAGGACTGTCCGCAGTCCATAACTAGACAAGAAAAGCAGAAAAGCCAGTTAACCAGCAATACGATAAAGCAGCTATTTTTGCGTTTAGAAATTTTCAAAACACATCCAAGAAACAACGGGTATTATTATGCAAATAATATTATAATTGATACGGTTATAAGAAATATAGCTAATACAGCGGAATAATTTATTTTCGTAACGCTTTTAGGGAAAACCCGGGTTAAATCAAATTTTCATTTTATAAATGTTTTTGAATTTAGATTCCCTGACTCATTTATATAATAAATGCGGTGCTAACGATGATGTCATTCGGTCGCACTTGAACTTGAACTTTGATCCGCGGTCAACCATACACCAAAACCACAACACCACACCGTATTCACGAAATTAAACAGAAAATCTTATTCTCTGAGGCAAGATCTGAACGAAAAATTCATTTGCTCATTTCCAAGATCTTATTTCGCTGATTTCAAACACTGTTTGTTCGCCTGTCTGTAACACGCGCTTAGCGTCCACTTCTTCTCCCCATGTTGTAATTTTTCGTACACTTGTGCAGACGGGTGCATTGTTAATTTGTCTGAGTAGATTAGTAGCATGTCTTGCGGTCAAGTCGCTTACTTACGGCTCAACACCTCGTTAACCAGTGATGCGCCCAAAGCTAGAGTTGTTACGCGGCGGCTCTGTATCGACGTCATCGCCCATGACCGAAGTATTGCTACAGCGACGGGATTGCTGATCAGACACTTTTATTTTATTAAGAACTTCGTTGTTTTTTTTTTAGAAGACTTCTAGCGATTATACTCACCTCGACATTTAGCAAACAGACTGCTGCACCAGCATCTTCGTAGGAAATTTTAATTAATAAATTTGAAATCCTGCCCCAGAAAATAGATCTCCAGCTAATCACGAAAATACAATGCGTTAACCATGACCATAATGCAGGCTACCTAATACGAGCACTCACTGATCATTGCAAGGCTGTAATGACTGATAAAAATCGGCGACCTAAAGCTTCAGGTAGCGAACGTAATATAACTGAGTTCGCTGGAGCGAACCTTAAAATTACTGGGTTCCCGGGGGTAGAATCGGGTCTATCTCCAAGAACTTTAATTGAAATTCGAACTAAAATTTGACAATTCTCGAAGGAAATTTCCTGGCCGGTAGTTTTTGATAAATTTTCTCCAAGAACAAAGCGATCTTTTTATAATCAAAAATTTTAACACAAAAATCCGGATAATTTGAAACCTAAGTAAGTACAACGCAAGAACCTAAATTAAATTGTTAATCAAGCAAATTATAAGAACAAAATGAATAAAATACGTTATTTTTGAAGTTTTTGGAATAAGCTCTCTTTATTGAAAATTTTGATTTATTTGCTGACTGACTTTACATAAGCGATAAAACAAGGCTAATGCTAAGCGATTATACTGAGCTGTTGGTTAATGGTTATCCGTTATCAAAGGAGCCAGCGTCCATAGCAGTACGGAAACGACGTAAAGAGACGAAATGGTCAGGGAACACGTGTGGAATCCAAACGGTATCCGTCCATCCACAGTTGTGCGTATTCGGTCCAACGCGAGAAACGAATCGGTCAGCTGTAGGGAGTTCACGGGTGTGTCCGCGCAGGAAATAGTGCGTTGATCCAAGCCTAATTGAGCCGGTCGGCTTACATTAGGCTTGTGGATTACAAGGTGATGCAGGCCCAAAGGAGGCTGAACACAGAACGCATTTGCCTGGAATGACACTTGCAAGCGTTAGCTAAAAAGACGAACTCACTGATCAACTCTGTTTCCGTAAAAGGAATGCCGTTCTCATTTTTACGGCCTTTTGT